ACCCGGGCCGCCGGCAGCGAAGCGCACGCACTTAACCGCTAAGCCACGGGGCCGGCCCTGTATAGTTTTTATGTTAAGCTAGAAGGAAGCCTTTTCCTGAGATTATGTAGTAACAGTTGTTTTCTTATAGGTCTTGGAAGACGAAAATGCAAATGTTGATGAGGTGGAATTGAAGCCAGATACCTTAATAAAATTATACCTTGGTTATAAAAAGTAAGAAAACTCTAAGTCCTAGAGCACAGACTCGCCCCTGACCCCTGTGCACTTCCCAGCGTGGCTGCACACGGGGAGGTTGGGAACTCTGTGGGGTGGGCCGGCATGGGGGTCGGAGGGCGGTGGAGGCCTTGACTCTGCTTGACGCTCCTGGGTGTTTCTCCATTTGACTCCGTTTCAGTTTTTGGTTTTTTTCTTAATTTGGCAAATAAGTCTTCTTAAATGGCTTGCCTAGAAAGTTTGGACCTCTGTGTCCAAGTGTTTTGATTTTATTTCACTTGACAGAATTTGGGGGAGCCAATTAAGGAAGTGAATTCCTGTAATACAGATGTCCTGTTACAGGCAAAGTAGGCACCCACCCTGTGGGTGACAGAACCAGCCAGTGTTTGGTCTGAGGGCATTTACACAGCCAATGGCCGAAACCGCACCAGAGAGGCAGAGACGGCCCCACTCGCCCTCCGTACAAGGGAGCAGAGCGCTGCTGAGAGACTGAAAACAGAAGCCTTCTCTGTTGTCTTTTAAAGCAATAGTAATAAGTTTCCTCCATTTTCTTGACAGTAAGAAATTAAGGGTTAACATCAATGTGCCAATGAAAACCGAACAGAAGCAGGAACAAGAAACCACACACAAAAATATTGAGGAAGACCGCAAACTACTGATTCAGGTGACTTTGGGTCCCTGTTGGTGTCTTGTGGGTTCCCTCACGCTGGAGATGGTGATGGAAGCCCGTCTGGTGCTTCGTTTGGGTCTTGTGTTGGCTGTGACTTGCAAGTGGTTGCCAGGCTGAAGGATGGTTCTGGATGGAATGGATGAAATAATAGATGAAATAGATTAGGGCAAGTACATGTGAGAGTTAAACTACAATGGGGGGAAGGAGAGCTACTGAAGGGGGGTAGGCAGCTGCTGTGGCTTTGAAGACTGACTATTTTCTCATTTTTTAAATGTTTTGTAGTTGGGTTAACTTATTAAAATTGCTCATAAGACCAAAACATTTTAACGTTTGTTGTCTTAGAGCTGAAACATAGGCAGATAGAACTGGCCCCAGTCCCTTCCCCCCTGCAGTGAACCATAAGCCAGGGCGTGGGTGGAGAACTTCAGCATGTTTGCTAGTTGGCTTAGTTGTCAAGGAGCAGTTGTTGTAACCCTCTGAGACACGCGCGTCTTCCTCCCGCGCTCCCTCAGGCGGCCATCGTGAGGATCATGAAGATGAGGAAGGTCCTGAAGCACCAGCAGCTGCTGGGAGAGGTGCTGACCCAGCTGTCCTCCCGGTTCAAGCCTCGGGTCCCCGTCATTAAGGTACAGGCGTTTTCAGAGCAGAAACACTCCGTTTGTTGTTTTAGAAGAGAAAAGATGTAACACAAAGTAGGTTGATTAGTTTCCTGAACAGTATGGTTTATTCATATGTAACAGATTTCTGCAAAAGAAAAGAGGCTTAATTTTTAAACTTTTAGTTGAAATATGTATACAGAGAAGTGCACAGGTCATAGGTATTCAGCTTGCTGATTTTCTCAAAGTAAAGACGCTGTACGGCCAATACCAGATCAAGAGTTAGAAGGTGACCAGCATTTCCAGAAGCCTCCCCTTTTGCTCCCTCCCAGCCAGTACCTGTGCTTGCCGTAGAATTGCCTCTGTCACATGTCTGACACCGTAAAGCAGTTCGACCTACCTCTGAACTCTGTGTACGTGGCTTCTGGAGTCCACGCTCTCCCGTGTCTGCTAACAGCATGTTTGGGAGATGCAGCTCTGTCGTGGCCGTGGCCCATGCTCATCTTCAGTGCTGTGCGGGCACTCCTGTGTCAGCACACGCGGCTCCTGGTGACGCGTCTGCTCGGTCCCCGTGGGGTTAAGGTGGAAGCTAAGCAGCTCTTTGCCTTCCGGAAACCACTTGGTAAATGGCAGCCAGTGCGGAGCCCCAGAGGGCGGCAGTTGACGGGCTCCCCGGCAGCCAGGAGGTCCCTGTAGTTCCTGGGGTTGCCTGGAGCCCAGGGGCCAGTTTGCTCAGGGAGTCCCCCACTGCCCCCTTCCCTGCTAAGGACGTCCTCAGGTAAGACTGAGAGTGGAGAGAGACTCGGGGCCGCATGGCTGCTCCAGCATCTGGCCAGTTCCTGGGGTGCTGGGAGGCCCCGCTCCCTGCTGGCTCTGAAGAGGACTCGGGTGCCCTTAGTGAGGACCTTAAAGAAAAGGGCACTGGGGGGACTCCATTTAGGAAGGCAATGTCTTGGCTGCCTGGGAGGCAAAACCACACACTGGAGGGATATATGGAGTGATTTGCTCCCAACTGAGCTCCCAGGGGTGGGGAGATCGTGGTGGGAGTGGCCTGTCTCTGTTCTGGTAATAAATGTGTTTTTCTTCCCCTTTCACTACCTCTTCCTTTTTAAAAAATAATGCTCAGAAATGCATTGACATTCTGATCGAGAAAGAATATTTGGAGCGAGTTGATGGTGAAAAGGACACCTACAGTTACTTGGCTTAACCCTTCTAGAAGGGTCTGACTGTGCGAACTGCAGCCAGTAGTTCCTGGTGGAAAAAATGAAAACTCAAGTTCATAGCAGCCAGCCTGCCGACATTTGGACCTCCCTTTTTAAAACTGAGACCAAGACTCCCATCAGCTGGTCTCAGATGTACATCAGAACTGCTCAGGATTGACACATTTCAAGTCTGTAAATATGGACACCAACGCCATTTAACCTAATTTAAGAACAGAGGGGACTCGAACCTTCCATGCTGAGGGCTGCATGCTACTGCATTTAAATCAATACATTGGCTACATGGTTAACCGCTGTCGTCTTAGGCAGCACTTAAAATGTTGGCAGCACTTTGAGAGCAAGTCTGAATGGACCCATGTGTAATCTGCTATGAGAAACCATTTGTATAGTGTGTTTCATTTTTTAATGTGTGAAAATAAAGAAAATTAAAGGATTTCTGTACAAGTCGCATTTGGTTTTGTTTTAAGTTTTACTAATTTCTATTTGTAAATAAAAGATATAATGATTGTGCAAATTTATATTCCCACTGTCTTCCTGTAGTCTAAAAGGCTGCATTCTTTAGATTGAACATTTTTTGTAAGATCTTAAAATTTTAAGCCCCCTTGTAATATTTTTTTTCAAACGTTCATGCTCGTTACTGTGACTTCCTCCAGTGACTTGAATGCGTCATGTGAGATTCAGTGACTACGTGTCGATTCTGTTGACACTTGTAACAACTGAATGGGTTAATCCTCTGCCCTCGTGCAGGCAACAGTGTGCCCTTTTCACAGGTGGGGAAACTGAGGCGAGAGGAAGGACCCTGTCACTAGTAAGTAGTGGAGGTGGGCAGCCGGCTCCGGGACCACGCTCTCTCCCGCTCTGCGGTCTTGTGTGGTAAGTCCACAGAGCAAGTGTTCAGACGTGGAGGGGCGATGGGGCTAGTCACTCCTTCGTCTGGTTCTAACCAGTTAACATAAAAGAAGCAATAGTTTCAGATGATCACATCAGCTTTTACTGGTAAAACCCCCTGGATTAGAGGAAGGAGGCAAGACCTCCCTCCTCCCTCCCTGACTGATGCTGGGAGGTGAGAAGCAGGCAGGCAGGACGAGAGCCCGGACGCTTTTGCTTTTCAGGCACCTACTGGTGGGTTGGACAGTGGTCTGGCTGTTGGGAAAGTTGCTCCTCTAGCGAGGATGGAGTGTCTGCCCCAGCATGTCCCCCGGGGAGAGACCCGAGGCCGGGGGTGCTGGTGCTCCGCGCCCGCTCCCAGCACTGGGAGCAGTCATTTCCTGCCCAAAGACAGAAGAAACGGAGACGTGGTAGCAGAGACTTGCCAGGCAGGCTCCACTCTGCAGCTTGCTTCTCACGAGCTCCCTTTTCCTCATCAACCTCACAGGTTTCTTAAGTGATACGAGTACTAGAACATACTTAGCAAACTAGACTTCCACTGAGTCCAAGTTATAAAAGACAGCATGGCCAAGGGGATAAGCAGAAGTGCTTATGCTTTCTTGGAACAATCTGGCACTTAACAGGTTAGTTTAAAAGTTAAAGGTTAAATAGGTTATAAAAAGTAATAGACTAAGCACTTAGGTCATGGTTTCCACTCCTTTTAATATATGATCTTTTTCAAAAGATCTTATAAAACTTCCCAGTGTATAAAGCAGGCTAAAAGCAGGAGTCCCACTCAGGGACCCTCCCTCCCCTCCCATCCCGCAGGGCCCTGGGGCCCCCCACGAACCCTCTGGAGTTGGGCTCACAGCTTGCTTTTCCTCGCAACAGCGTCTGCCTCCAGGACAAACACGCTGCAGAGCAACACCGTGGAGCCACTTGGACAACTTGTGCTTGAGTCCGTCAAGGGTGGGAAATATTTTAATGAGATTTTGCTGGTGTCTCCTGAACTCCTCCAGGATGGAGAGTGCCCTTGGATCCGTACCTTGGGTAAGTCCGAGCACATTCAGAAGAGTCAGCAGAGGTGAGCTGAGGGATGGCTACCCCGCATACCTTGTACCTGCGCCCTTCACATTAGGTGCACATCCTGTTTAGTGGATGTTTTGCCTTTATTCCCAGACCATATCCTAGCCTACCAAGGACGGTCAGGAGCCTCCACAGGCAAGCCAGAAGAATCAAGTTCCCTTACGTGCCCATCAGCTGCATCTTTCTTCTAAGAAGTGGAGAATGGCACTCTGAGGAGTGTATTTTTCTGGGTAACTTGAGTAGTCTTTTGAAGCTGCTTAGAGGCAAAGGCCCGGGTGTTCTAAAAACTCTTGGTGCCCTGAGGGATTGTTGACTGCGACACTGGTACAACCCACAGGAGTTGGTCGGTTGAAGGCAAACCATGTTCTGGGCTAAGTGTATGTCACCGTGGGAACCACAGCCTGAGGGAACCACTTCCTCTCACCTAGGGAGGAGACCAGGCAAGGGAGGACCTCACTCAACAGCCCGGAAGATAACAGGTTCTCCTGGGTTGGACTCTGTTGTCAAACATCATGCCTGCATAGACATGGACTGCTGACCAGTCACCTGTCAGTGCCTTTGTGAGGACGCAGCCAGGGACACTAAAATACAGGCCTCAGTAATGAGTAAGGAGAGGACAGTAAATACAGGACCAAGAGGCACTGGAATTTACTGGTATTGAGTGAACATTTTAAGATGGCCTACCTCCTCGCTGAACACTGGCATCTGATTTTCCTTTGAGAGAAACTTAGGTATGACCACACCCAGATGAAAAAGCAAACATGCTGACCTGTTTGAATTGAATGCCCCTGCTGATCAAGACTTTTTTTTTAATCACAATAGCTTGGCTGTCTGGGTGATCTGGTTTTATATACCCGGATCTCGTCTTTCCAGTTCACACATCTATCCAGTGGCAGACCAGATAATGACGTCGTCATAACAGGTGAGTGGCCTTTTTTTAAAAAAAAACGCTTTGTGGAGGTGTGGTTCACATAGAAAAAGCTGTCTACAGTTGATGTATTGGACCACTTCAAATACCTGGTACTATCTATACCCGTCCGGGGAGTGAGCAGTTTATAAGGAAGGGCTCAAGGAGCAAACATTTATTTCAGCTAAGTCTAGTAAGCCCAAAGCTCATTGACTTTCAACAGAATAGGTTCTTTCAAAATGTTCACATTAGGAACCTTTCTTGATGACCTTATCTACCAGTTTAAATTATACGCTGTTAGTTCACTAGGACTGATTTGGGCGGGGATGGTGCAGTGGTTGGAACACCTTGGGCAGAGGTAGAAATCAGGACTTGGAGTCAGTGAATGGATACAGAGATCAAATGAACCAGACAGTAATGAAAAATAAGCAGTTTCTAGGTAGATGGTTATTTTAATTTATGAAGGAAAAATACTGATTGAATTTTGACAAGCAGAACAGTGTATTTCCTGGTGCCTTCAAATCCACCTGCAGAGTTGGCCTGTGGGCGTGGTGCTGCCTGTGCTTGGACGTCAGGACTCGGCTTCGGCCGTGGCTTGTCTTCATGCAGTTCTTTATGACCGTCAGGAGAAAAGGCTGAGGGGCCGCAAAAATGGACCAGCTGGGCAACCTGTTGGCAGGGTGTCTTCGTCCTCAGTGAACTATGTGTAAGAAACGTAGCCGTATCCTGATATGATACTCACACTACTCAGTTCTGTACCTTCTCTGGTAGGGAATAAACGCCAAGCTTAGAGGCACACACACACTAAGTTATTGCGTTGGGGGGGGGGGTGGAGGGAAGGAGAAAAAAGCATACTTTAAACTTAGCTTTTGCCCAGATTTTGTCTTTATTAATTGGGTATTTGAATGCCTTACGTATCAAGCTGTGTGCTCCCCTCCCCCTGATTATAACTAAAGGAAAGTAAATCTGACCGGATCTGATGAAAGATGCCCTGTATCACATGGAATCTAGCAAAGGGGTGCAAGTCAAGTGTTTCTGGTCAGAGAATCCTCGTTCATGAAGTCAGCAAATAGGGCACTGGAGAGGTCAGGGTCCAAAAAGATTTCTGTACTAAAAAGTACACCAGATGGTCCTCAAATTTACTGCTCTCCATCAATGCAATTTTTATTTTGTCTTTATGCGGCATTGGGTCTCTGGTATATTAAGTGAGCAGAACCTCCCTGGCTTCAAGGACCCACCTTCCAGTTCACGCCTGGGGCGAGGTTGGGAGCTGTTAACAGCAGAAAGGCTGTGGCTGGAATGAGCTCCGTGTCAGAAGATACTATTGGGGCAAGCAGTCACTGGGGTGTCCTAACCAGCCCACGTGTGAAAATGAACACATGGGCTCCACTCGTGTTGAAGGCCAAGGCTGGATCTCAGCCGCTGGGCAAGCACGGGAGTGAACCTGTGTGAATCGGTCAGCAGCAGCCCACCAAGTGCATGGTACCGTTTCCTGGGTGGAGAGAGGGGTCATTAGAGACAAGACACAGCAGCTGCGTCAATCAAAACCAAGCGGGCAGAGTACACATGAGATGAGTATCCAAGGCCAGGTCTTTCTGTTGCCAAAACTAAGTAGCAAATTAACTTTATTTTAGGACTCCCGTTGCCATGGCTTGTGCATCGATGCCATAGAAGCCAGAGGGTCTTGTCAATGTCTGCATAATTGGAAAGGAAGGTAGTTTAATTAAGCTTCACATTAAGTATTGTCACATTATAAATCAATAAAAATGTTATCGAACTCTAGAAAAGTCACTGTTTTGCGGCCCCGTGGCTTAGCGGTTAAGTGCGCGCGCTCCACTGCTGGCGGCCCGGGTTCAGATCCTGGGCGCGCACCGACGCACCGCTTCTCCAGCCATGCTGAGGCCGCGTCCCACATGCAGCAACTAGAAGGATGTGCAGCTATGATGTACAACTATCTACTGGGGCATTGAGGGAAAAAAATAAAATAAAATAAATTAGTAAAACGTGTATTTTTAAAAAAAAAGAAAAGAAAAGTCACTGTTTTGAGAGTTGCCCAGTCACCTTGGTCAGTGGATGCTGGGAGAGTGCTGGAAGCCCTCGCTGCTGCTCTGAGAGGAAACCCCGCTACCGTGCAGGGTCAGGAGCAAGCGCCTGCTCCCTGATACTTTAGGAGAGATTTCCTACTGCTTCAGGAAGATACAAACTACAGTTTGGTTACACCAGCACCTTTCGTAGGTGTGTAGGGAATCTCTTACACTGCTGTAGTTCTGAAGGACTGTATCTAGACTAATGGAATTAATAGCCAGATAGATAGATAGATAGGGTCTTAGAAGTCACCTGGTCTGACTCAGTGATTGTGTACCTGGAGAACAAGGCCGAGAGGTGAAGTAGCTCTTCCGCCACTCAGCTGAATGGACATGCCCCACCCTGCTCTGAGGATGCAAGCAGTGTCATTCACTTATGGACATCTACTCATTAATAGGCAATATTACTATAATCAGGCAAATTATACAATATCAATTATATGTGTATATTATATATTCACATATTACATATTTACGTTTATATATTTGTTATAATTAGGCAAATTAATAGGCAACGTCAGTTAAGTCAAGATTCACGGATTGACCAATCATCTAACTCCTTTGGTTTTCCAGTTGAGAGTCTGCTCTCCCGTTAGAGACATGGTCCTTTTCTCAAACCAGCTGATGCAGCCGTGTGACAGATGACTCAACAACAAGGAGAAGTTCAAGTATTCTTTATTCAAAGTTGAAAAATGTACCATACTGCATTATTGCAAAAATTCACTGGTACAAAACACTTTGCAGCTGGTGAGAAGGCAATAAAAAGTTGATTTTTAAACTCATTACTATAAATTATTCTTACAGTACTTTGCAAATTCAGAATTTCAGACTGCATTTTCTTTTTCTAAATTTTGCCCACAGTACTCGAGGTTCCTGAAGCTAAGGCAGCTGTTCCAGAAGGAGGAGGGGGAGGAGGAGGTAGCAGACGTCAAGGGATTTCCATTTCTCTTTCAATGCCCACATACTTCAGGGCATCAGCCTGGCTGTATCTGAAACAGCACGAAAGAGGAATGACCACCATCCAGCACGGAGACTAACCACCAAACCTGCTTAATTCAGTGTGTGCCCACACACATCCAGTTACACAGCTGCAGACAGAAGGCAATGCACACAGCTGTGTCACTGGTAGTATTTCTGAACTGGACAAACCTGTTAGTACAACCCTTCCCACAGCTTTCTCCCCAGCCGCCCCCTATGTCCCTGAAACACACTGCCCACGAAGGCAGATCCACATCATGGTACTGAGGGCCTAGCACTGGGAAAGCAAAAGAAAAACAGAAGTCACAATGATCTGGCCAGGACATGACTCAGGCCCCTAGTAAACAGGGCCAAAGAGCGGCCACAGCTGGTCCCTTCCAGGTGAAGAAAGAACCAGGACACAGCACGCAGAAGTCAGAAGAGCATGAGACCACCACAGGGGGAAAGCCTACAGGTCCTTTGAGAGGAAGTGTGCTGGCTGCTTTGCCCCCTAACCCCAGGTCCACCTAGCCGCTGCTCACTCTGGGGCAAGAGGGAGCACCACTTCTGGTCAAGTAGCTGCAGTGGCCTCCCACGAAAGAAGGATGGCAGCTGGGCTCCCGGCAGCAGTTTGCCACGGAAGATGGCTACACAGGGGCCTTCATTTAAGAAACTCAATACTCAGAAACAGCTTCCGGATGGGCCGTGTATTTAGCCACAGGATTTGCTGAACAAGACAGTCTGATTTCATTTAAATAACTTGTCCATTTATCCTACAGAACCTGACAATGTAAACCACCAGCCTGATGCTTAACCGCGTCAACACCACCACGGGCCCGTGCGTCCTCAGCGTCCTGACAGCTGGCAAAGGACCCAGAGGGTGACCGGGTAGGATATTGGCCAACTGTGCCTTAAACTGTTAAAATACTAACGATGTATGTAGAGGTACTCCAGCAGTTAACCAGTGTCCTGCGGGAGGTACTATGGGAATCAAGTGTGACCACACTGACTTGAGAAGACACACCTGCAGTAACGCAGGTGGCAGGGCTGTGCACACGGCACTGTGCAAGCATGGTGTCAGGAGGTCTGGGGGCACAGCAGCTCTTCCCAGCAGGGTTAAAAATGGGGCCTTCTGCATTCTTTTGACTATGTTTTAAAAATAAACATTACTTGTATAACAGAAACTACACAACCAGGCAAGTAGAACCTAACTCCCACGGCACCTGGTGACCAGAACTCAGTCCTCCAACACGGGAGATGCAGCAGAGCCAAGACAGCCTCTGTCCCCAGCTCCGAGTCCAGGAAGAAGCAGCCCTTAGATCACACTAGAAATGTACTGTTACCCACCTGTAATCAAAAAATAGCTCTTCACCAGTCTGGATGGCTCTCTTAGCAAAAATCCCTATCCTGTGATCGCCGTTCACCATCATAACTGGAAAGAGACACATCCCGCCGTCAGTGCGTCAGTGAAGACAGGCCACGGGAGGGAGCCCACTTGTTCACATGCTGCCCACCCATCTGTCCCAGGACCGTCCAGTCTGCCGGCACTGGACCGAAAAGGGAGTTCTGACTCCACGAGCACTTGCCTTTTGCATAGCAGTTGGGATTTACCGAATGATTTGCAAAACGAATTTTGTTACCCTTGCGGGTTGCATCCACCACAAAATCTAAAGAGAAGAAATAAGCACGATCCACTGAAGCATTTCAGTTACAGATCAATAAACACAAAGTTATGACAATTCTGGAAATACAACTGGTTATAGTTCTTCAGGGTTTGCCTTCAAAAGCAAATAAATCACTCAGCCAACTTCAGCATGAAATGACATTTGGAGGAAAATGCTATTCTAGGTTAAAATTAATCAGTAATTCAAGAGAGTTGTCTCTCTCAAATGTTGTTACTTACCAACTATAAATATATATTACTGAGCAAAACATTGCAAGAGATGGAATCTGACTAAATTCTCAATATCAAGAATAAGTATTTATCACATTTAAAATTACAGATTTTTTTTCATTATACTATTTATGGAACATGTTCACAGAAAGACCCTACTGTTTCAACTGACTTACTCTGAATATCCAAGGTGTTAAGCTCACCTGCGTTTGCATCGTATCCGCCCCCGCCCCCCCCTCCCCCATGACAGACTACAGCCTTACGTTCTCTACCCAAGAACAGCATCTGCAAAATCAGCTTCCTATGTTCTCAGTCCTTTGAAAACACCCAGAGAAGTTCTGGAGATGCTTCAAAATTCAGTCTCCACACCCCTCCCAGGTCACAGGTGCTGTTGGAGGAAAAGCCATGCTGACTCAATCCCCACGTCGTTAGAACACAAGAGGAGGGCAACAGCAGTGGCGAACCACAGAGTGTCCTACAGCCAGAGTGGTGTGGCCCCATCCACAGCGGGCTCAGAACTTCAGAGATGAATTCCTTCATACACACCCCGTTCTACCACTGAGGAATTCCTCCCCGCAAGTCCTAAGCCCATACCAGGTAATAAGAAATACCAAACGCTCAGGCATGGAGGTGGCGCTCCTTCCACCCCCTCATCAACACTTGGATCCTCAAACTGCATTTCTGAGTACATCAGCCAGTGGAAGGGCTCCCACATGCAACTCAGGAACTAAATGCCCATAAACTTACCATTATTCAAGTTGAAGAGAAAGCTGCACATGTATTTATCATATACTTTCCCTCTTCTGTCTGCTTCATCTTGAGAAATAATCTAAAAAGAAAGACAAGAGGGTAAGATTGTTTTTGGACTAGGTGGTTAAGCCTGGCAGGAGAGCACACAAAAGCTTATCTAGAGGATTTTGGATCTTCTTGAGGAGGATCCTCAACAAGTCACCATGGCCAGTTTCTCTCTCTCCCATTCAGTCTGCGTGCTCATATGTCAAAGAACAATATTTTAAGGACTTCAACCCAGAAATATTTCCACATCCATAGTAATTATGCTTGGAGAAAGTGATTAACAGAAATCTTACTGAACAAATACAAGCTTGGTGGGTTACTTCCAAATTGAAGCAAAGTTCACCCTATGGTCTCCCCTAACACCACAACTAAAAAGGCGTATGATTAATGACACTGCCGTTTCTAGGTCCTTTTTAGGCTGTGGACTGAGTAGGACAGACCCTGCATCACAAAGTTCTTGTTCCCCCACTTGTCCCCAGATGATAAATGCTAAATGTGACACGGACAGAAGCAGTGTAGTTACCAGCAAACCAAACCCACCAGTGTGAGTAAGTCCAAGCTGAAAAGGCACTCTTTGTTCATTTATTTCTAATCAAACCCCATGGACTCGCCCAATGAAATCAATCCTCAACAAAGAAGTTATTCTCTACAATACCACAGGAATCTGTGATATTCCTCTTGCCTTACCTCTCCACAGTATTCAGAGATGAATTCATTTTTCTGTACAGGATCTTTGATGAAAATCCCCCAGCCTGCCACGTCAGATGGTGCCAGCAATAAGTGCTAGAGAAAGAAAAGCACAATCGTATAATCAAAGAAGGAAGATGGGCTGCTGACACAGGAGACTGTGGGATGGTCCCTGTCAGTCCGCAGACCTGTTCTAAAGCAGTCATCACCCAGAGACAGGAGGAGAGCTGCCAAGGACCCCGAACTCACTGAGGGGTCGACTACGCAAGTATTGCCAAAGGGGCTGACACTGAAAAAACCATGTTTTGGGCTAAGTATTCTCTATCTTACAGAAAAAATAAAGTCGCCTCTGGTGGCAGCGGTCCCCTCCAGTTGCCATCCTTCAGCGAGGTATCCTAGAACTGCCGCACTTTCCCTTCCCCATCATTTCCTCAGTCTTTGACTTCCTTGAATTAATCCACCTTCAAGGTGAATTTAATACAAGAACATCAAATCACCGTCTCTCTCCATCCCTCCCTCCACTTCCCCAGAGGGACCACTATCACTAGCAGACACCTGCAGGACATTGTCCTGGTTCTTCAGTGGCTTCTCTGCCTCCCAAGGCCCTCTCATTTTTCCATGGCAGTTTCTCTTGGAGGTGGTTCCTCCACAGCACTTCCTTGAGACAGCATTAGAAACTACCGTGATCTTATCAGTCCAGCATTCTCTTCTTAGTAGATGCCAAGATGCCATCGCTGTCAATTTTATAGTTAGGGATTCCTTCCCAAACATACTCTAACTTTTCATCGTGGTTCATTATTATGCTTTCATTCCAAATTTCCTTGTGACCTTTAAAGAGGCTCCCAATCTATTCCAGCCTACACTCACCTGTCAAGGGAATTTCCCAAATACCTCCCTGATCAGAAACTAAATTAGCTGAATATTGTTAAGCAAATGAAACCCAGTTGGTAAAAAGTATCTACATAATTTTCTATTTTAGGAGTTAAAAGATGTCTACAAAGAAGACATGTCGACATGAATAGTATTACCTACTTTCTGAATGAATTGAAGGACAAACTAATCATACAATGGCAGGTATGGGATGGGGAAGAAAGGAGATTGTTAGGGCTGGTTGAGTGTGCCATGGGAGACTGTACAACCTCACTATGATGGGATGACCTCAGTGGACAGGAAGTACCTAGAGCGAAACAACTAAACACCTGGAAACATCACAGCCCAAAAAAAAGAAGCCATTGCCATACACAGAATTTCTGGTAGAAGAGGACTACTATAGGAGTGTGATCTCAACTACGTTATACAGCAGTTCAGTAACCTAAGACAGGAATACATGCCGCACCCACGGAAGGGGTCTGGGGCCAGGATGCCCGGACGGGAGATCCTGCTCTTGTCCTTAACAAGTCTGATAACTTGGGGTTTCCTTACCTATAAACTGGGGTTCATGACTGTTCCAAACTCGTGGAGGAATGAATTAACACACAGAACTTAGACCAGTGCCTGCTGTGTAATAAATGTCAGCTATTATTATGAAAATGATTAATTGAAGAAGAAACCCATCATCTACCCTTAAAAAAAGGAATACTGAACTTCCCCAGTATATGCTGTTAGTTTCTTTTGCTCAGTAATGACTTCCTAGTTGCTACAATTAAAACCACCTGCATGCAATTCCCAAGCTTCAGTTATGATTCCTGACTGCGTTGTTTTCAAGGTTACTAAAGAAACAGGAACTAAGTCTGCAAAAAATACCATGGGAAATTTCATCTTTTACTCTGCACAAAAAGGAACCCTGGATAAGAATGGGTCTCTATATTCTGATAGGAACACCATTTATTTGTATTAAGGAGACTAGATAAACTACTAGTTCTGTTAACTAAAAAAGAAATTCAAATCATCTAGTAAACCAATTATAAAAATACCTTATTCCAAATCTGATACCATTAACAGCTGTTTCTCAGAACTTATTAGTTCATCTTACAACAGAGCAAGGTGTTCTACAGAAAATGTATGAGATTGCCCAAGGATGTATTACCCAAAGAAAAATCAACCGTTTTCCCTCTATCAGCTGTACCATTCAACAATCATGTTTACTTTTTGCCCTGCTGAGTGGTCTCAGGCTGCCCCGGCACTGACATTCTGCAAGAGCCATCCAAAACCCGTCATCCAGGAGGGCCGGCGCGTACCTTTTTGGAGCCCCGCTGAATGCTACAGTTCTTGCAGGACACATTCTTACTGTCCCAGTGGTCAGCAGCTCCACAAGTGAGACAGAGGTCGGGGTCGCACTCCCGGACAGCCAGGTAGCACGGGCACTGCTTGGTGTTGCACTGTGCTTTGCAGCGGCAGCCAGGAAAGCGGTTCTGACCTTCAGAGAGATGGTCGTTGTCATCGTCTTGTGAAAACGCTGCACGGTGGTGCACGGCAAGTATCGTGCGAGGCCTGACTGCCTGTAACCTCACACCCACCTTACTAGCCCCTTGTGTGGCCTAGGATGCTGAAGTAACAGGACAGTTACAGCTGTCACCACTGAAAAAGTTCAGCACTAAGTTCTTGTCTTCCCATTTTCATTTGTTAAACCGTACGTATACTTCAAGTTCTTTGACTTATAAAATAGGCGTGATGGGAGGGTTTGGACTAAATAATATCCATGGTTCTCGACCATTCCTATAGTCCAGAGTTCTAGGTACATCCTTGGTATCATTCCAGCTTCATGTCAGTCTCGTTAAATAACTACAGTCCTTACCCTTATGCTATATTCCTTCACTCTGAAGACTAAACCCACCTAACTCTGACAACTTCTGGTGCCCAAAAAGTATTTAGGTAGCTATTTCTAGATTCCCCTTACATTCTGTGCCAACTTTATTATGATTTAAACGATCAAAGAAAAAGCTGCTTTAATCCAATTCTGCCTAGCCTACACGCATTAGCCGGGAGACTGGCTGGACACTAGCACAGTGCCAGTTACAGGGCTCCATAAACCCTCGTAAATAAATGGATTTCCTACAGGAAACAATAAGCAAGAGCTGCCGTGTTCCTGGTTTGATATAAATTACTATTTTCAATTGCTGACCAAAAGCATATTTAGTTCTCATGCAATTACATCAAAGCAACAGATACTTACACTCTGAACTACACTGACAAAACTTTTCACAAAAATTTTGTGCTATCACACAAGGGCACGAACTGTCACAAGGCTGCCGTGGGTGGTCACAGGGTTGATAGTTGTAAACGTGGTTAGAGGAGCCGTCTGCACAAAGATAAGAGCATGCAGGTCAGTCCAGAGAGGTGTGCGATGATCGTACCCAATGCACAGGCACACAATCTTCCCCATTACCTGTGGGGCCTGGCGGGTTTTCCTTACTCTATTTACAACTCTCCACATACTCTTGTTTACAAAGTGAGGGCAGACATCACTTCCCACCCCCAAGTGCTTGGGAACTCCAGAGCACTGTCACCCACACCACAGCCAGATTCCCAAAGTACTTCTCCTTTAACCGACTGGCTGACTCACTCCATCCAGTCAGCTTTCATTGTTAATCAACAGACGTCCTCCATTTAAATTGGCTTAATGTA